GCTTAGGGCAGGCAGGGACTTACTAGAGGCCAGGATGCCGTCGATAAACTCCTGCCGGGTGATCTTCCCATCCTGGTCTTTGTCGATGCGCCGGAAGAAGTCCATGACGCGGGATTTCTTGTGGTTCATCCAGCGCATGTATTTCTTCCGCCAGACGTCGAAGTCGAAGTTTGCAAACTCCTTCAACTGCAAGGAAAGCCGAGAGAGTCAGCGAGGGAATTCCCCCCGCAAAAAACTCCCGAGGAGCAGCACCCCCGTCTCTACAGCACCCTAAAAACTCCAGCCTCGATGAGCTCCCCATGCTAACGCCCACCCGGGAAGGTTAATCTGAGTTTATCCAGACCTGCCCCGTTAACGAAGGGGCTGCTCAGATCGACTTTTGGGAACAGAAGGACAGACAGTGCAGCCGACAGTCACAGGGGGACCACGGAACCAGGGACACGGGGTGCAGCACCCCCCGCGCTGGCACACGTACACAAAGGCAGAGGTATCAGCTACTTGCACACAGACAAACCCCTCCTGCACCATCACTGGCATCATTCTGGGCACGTGTCTCCCCTCTCTCTTCCCCTCTAAGCAGCTGAGAAGGGATTTCTTGCTTATCTTCCAGGTAAGGCAGCAGCTGGGGCACATCTCAGCCCGGCAAAGTGCCGCAGACCAGCCGCTCACCCCCCAATTCCAACCAACACCCTTTTTCTCCTCCTCCCCTGAAAGGACTCCCTCGACCCCACCAGCTCAAGCAGCTCACAGCAAGGTAATGCAACAGTTTTTAGCGATTTGTTTTTTTTTTTTCCTCTAAAGCAACAGAGAAAAAAAAACATTAATACGTATAAACTGAACTGACCTACAGCAAAAGCAACAAAAAACAAAAAAAACCACACTCACTTCTGGGCATAGCTGCTTTGTTAAGCATAAATAAAAACAAAAATTACATTAGATGGTTGGAAAAGATAGACAGTAATTGTTACAACTAATTACTAGGAGAGAGGCAGGCCTGGCTGTCATTACCTCTACAGATACTGACTGCAAGGGCACAAAGCAGTTCATTAATGAGCAGTTAATTACAGAAGGTAGATTTCAGCCTTAATATTTTTCAGAGCTTTGGTGTTTTTTTTTTTCTTTTTTCTTTTGCATTTTCAGAAAGGCAGCAGTAACCGCCTGCAAGAGCTGGGCAGTTCAAGAGGTGACACTAATTTCAAGCATTTCTCGCACCCCTCCAGCAGCTTTTTTCCCCTGCCCTGCCCGGAGCAGCCGGTGGCCGTTACCTCCTCCAGCCTGTCCAGGGCATCGTTCAGCTTTC